CATATGAGAAATTCCAGAGAGAAGCAAGCTGAAGAAAGAAATCCCCTAATTCCGTGTATGAATGAATATGTCTCAGGTTTACTCCCAAGGTGCACACTTGAAAAACAGATCCAAAGAAACAGCCTTTGAGAAATTGAACTGACATCATAACTACTACCCACAGAAGGTGAGACAGATCATGCATTCTGAACTTCAAGATTTTGTTTGCTTAAAAAAAAAAAAATGGACATTCTCCAGAGGATTTTAACAGGACCCCGAGTTTCATAAAATAATGTTCAAAATGTCCAAGATACAATAGAAAATTACTCAACATACAAAGAGCCAAGAAAATGTAACTAATTCTCAAGGAAAAAGACAACATATACCAACCCAAGATGACCTCAATATTGGAATTCTTAGATAAAGATCTTAAAGCAGATATAACCATACTCTATGAGGTAAAAGTAAACACTATGAAATGAAAGAAAAGATAGACATTCTCAGGAGAGAAATAGAAACTATAAAAAAGAAGCAAATGGAAGTTTTAGAACTGAAAAAAATATAATGCAAATTCACTAGATGGGTTCAATAACAGAACATAGATGATGGAGGAAAGAATCAGTGAATTTGAAGATAGATTAATAGAAATTATCCTGTCTGAAAAACAGAAAAGAAGGTGAAAATAATAAAGCCTCAGAGATATGTGGGATTATATCAAAAAGATTTTATATGAATTTCATTGGAGTCCCAAAAGGAGAGGAGAAAGATACTGTTGCAGAACAAACATTTGAATAATGGACAAAACCTTCCCAAATTTGGTGAAAGACATAAATGTAAAGATTCAAGAAACTCAGTAAACCCCAAACATGATAAACCCAAAATAGACTGCACCCAAGATACATCATAATCAAACTGCTGAAAACCAAAAAATAAAGAAGAAAATCTTGATAACAGCCAGATAAAAAGAACACATAACAAATAGGGAACAATGATTCAAGTGGCTGAATTTTTCATCAGAAACCATGGAACCAGAAATAGTGGAATAATACCTTTAAAGTGCTTAAAAAAAAAAAAAAAAAAGAACTGTTCATTCAGAATGCTATTTCCAGCAAAAATGCCTTTCAGGAATAAAGGTAAAGACATTCTCATATGAATGGAGGCTAAAAAAGATTCTCGTGCCACTGTTATGGACTGAACTGTGACCGCTCAAAATTCATATGTTGAACTCCTAACCCCTAGTACCTCAGATTGCGACTATATTTGGACATAGGTGATTAAGTTAAAATGAGGTCAGTAGAGTGGGCCCTATTCCAATATAACTGTTGTCCTTATAAGAGGAGGAAATTAGGACACAGACACAAACTCAAAGAAAGCAAAAGAAAAAAATAATAAAGAGCAGAAATTACATTGAGAAGAAAAAAATAGAGAAAAATTAATGGAACCAAAAGCTGGTTCTTTGAAAAGACCAATATATTTTTAAAAACTAGCCAGAATAACCAAGAAAAAAAGACAAAAATTAGCGATATTGAGAGTCAAAGAGGGGATTTCACTACAGACCCCACAGACATAAAAGGATAACAACTGGATGCCCGTAAGTTCAAGAATAATTGAAATTCCTTGATACAACCTACCAGAATTGAATTCATCATTTAAAACTTGCCAATAAAGAAGACTCCAGGCCTGGATGGTTTCATTAGTGAATTCTAGAAAGTATTTAAGAAAGAAAGAATACCATTTCTTCACAATCTCTTCTAGAAAATAGAATAAAAGGGAACATTTACCAACTCATTTTATGAGGTCATCTTTACCCTGATATCAAAACTTGATGAAGACACTACAAAAAATAAAAGAATGTTACAAAACATAAGAATATTACAAGAAAACCATAATAAGCCTTTAACACTTGAATTGTCAAGTGTCCTTCCTTCTCCACCTCAAATCCCTCTATAATCCTGCAAAACCAAACTCAACCAAACCCCAAAAAAAGAGCTCTCAGATACGTCTATGCAGCCCAAGGAAAAATGCCAGCAGCCTCAGGTCACTTACTGCATGCCCTCTGATGCAGGGCTCGATGATAATTATCTATTTATATTAGTGGATTGTTAAATCAATTTTGTTCAGTCTAATCAGAATTTTTTAATGAAATAAAATAAAATAGAAATTATCAGAATGCTTTGTAGATGGATGGGACAAGTATAGCTCTGTAAAACTTTTGTCTCAATTGTATGTGTGGGCACAGGTTCTGTGTTGTAATATGAAATGTATTTCTTTTACTGAGTCTTACTCAAAAATGTTTGACAAATAGTGGAGTATGTGCTTCCGAACAGCTATCCTAACTCTCATCTCACTCTTCTTATGAAGAGTCAAAGAGGAAGACAAAAATGGACATAGTTCTCTAGAACTGAAGGGCATTTTCAAAAGCAGAGTCCTTCACTTTACTCACTTTTGATAGCTTAAGCTTGTAATAATATTGAAGGAAAGCCATCTAGAGCAGGATCTCTTAACCTGGGGTCCAGGTCCAGAGGTCTAGGAAACCTCTAATTGCATGCAAAATGTTGTATATGAAAGTGTATGTATTTTTAGGAAAGGGTCCATATTTTTCATCAGATTCTCAAGAGCCCACAACTGTCCAAAATTTTAAAAACCACTGAAATGGGGAATCCTTTGATACATTAAGCTGGTCTGGTAGTGCCATAGTTCTGGGAATGACGGAACTTAATGACAATAATTCAAACTGATTTAGAAAAAGCCATGCTAATTGAGTCTGGCCTAATAACAGGGTTGGACTCATACAAGGTTAGCCATTAAGATCAGTGAAGAAGATACCAAATTATGAAGATTTGCTCAAAAAAAAAAGAACATCCATTCTTTATTTTATGAAATCAGCTGTTTTAATGAAGGACTATAATGAATTTTGATTCTTAAAATAGTTGAATGGTAAAAAAATATTAGGTTTCATAACCTAACTCACATAACCACATCTCCATCTTAGCATTGATCGACAGGTACACAGGGCCTTGACATCTGTTGCCATGACCCCTTGTCACTCTTTGCCCAGCTATTTCCTATTTCTCCTTAAAAATTCAGCTTAGGCCTCATCTTCTCCAAAAGTTTTCCTTCTCTGTGCCAGGATAACTGCCTACAAGGGCTCCACCTTGCTCTTCCCTAACAACCAGTGCACAGCGCTATTAGGTATTGACCTTGTTACATGGAGATTTTCTAGTCACATCTCACCTCTGCATCACACAGTAAGTGCTCTAAAGGCAGGCAGGGACTGATGAGGTCTTAATCTCCAGGTCACCATAAATTAGCTTGGTGCTTGGCACACAGTCAGAGTCAGTACCACGGTAATAAATTATAAGTTCAGTTCCTACAGTAAAAAATGTCTATGAAGTTAAATCTCTTCACCTAAAGATATCAGAATTGCCTAAAGTCTTTTTTTCTTTAACAAGGCAGTCTATGTTTTTTAAAAATATTAATACAACACTATTATAGTAATTTATTATATATTAGAGACAGAAATACTCCAAGGGTGCATCAAATATGACTTCAGGCCAGTCTGGCAGTCCTGGGGAAAGGCTGTGTGTTAAGTATTGGTTGGTGATCATTGGACCTGCATGGAGTGGTCTTCTGAGGAAATGGAAGGAAGTGGCAATGTAGGAAGCTTGGGCTGAGAGGTTCCAGACAATTCTAGTCACCAGCAAGCATACTTGTTTCCATAGAAAAAGATAACATTAACAATAAAATTTGCCCAACATCAATTTGACTAAATAGTTCCCCCTTAACTATTCAAGGCTCAAAATGTTCTTATTTTTTATTTGTAGCAGGGCAAAACAATGTTTTGGATGTCTCTCCACATATATTTTCCCCTCTTTTCTAAGAAAGATATGGCAGCAGAAAGTGAATATTCGAAGGGACTTTCTTCCTAGCCTTTGTATTTCAGAAATCTAGACTTCAATCTTCTTTGTTAATTTTTTACCTGAGGTGGTAGGACAGGACAGAGAGAGGAAAGATAAAGGGTGAAGATAAATGAAGAAAGTTTTTGGTTGAGAACACCCACACCTTAACTGAAAATCAGTCCTTTGACAGGAAGATATTCCTCCTCCACAGCACATGCAGCTTAAGGATGGATGCAAGTGAAGCAGTGAGAGAAGAAGGTGGCACCTGGCAGGCCAGCCAGACTCCCCTCACAGTACACACTTATCCCAACAAACCTCTGATCATGGTGTAGAAATGGCTGGACAATGGAATGATTAACCAGAAGGTCACCAAGGGAATGATATCCCCTGAGGTCCCAACAAAGTCCCAGGTGTATCATCAACTAGAAAACTCAGGCAGGGCTGGCCCCGCGGCTTAGTGGTTAAGTGCGCACGCTCCACTGCTGGCGGCCCAGGTTCGGATCCCGGGCGCGCACCGACGCACCGCTTCTCCGGCCATGCTGAGGCCACATCCCACATATAGCAACTAGAAGGATGTGCAACTATGACATACAACTATCTACTGGGGCTTTGGGGAAAAAAAAAGGAGGAAGATTGGCAATAGATGTTAGCTCAGAGCCAGTCTTCCTCAGCAAAAAGAGGAGGATTAGCACGGATGTTAGCTCAGGGCTGATCTTCCTCACAAAAAAAAAAAGAAAAGAAAAGAAAAGAAAACTCAGGCAGCATTGCTCTGACCACCCGAAGTAAACAGCCTAACCTACCTGAAGGATGTTCACACATACGGTCATCTGGAAAAATCTAGGACTGGGGGAGAGATGGTAAAATTTACCATTATGAATTGTTATGCACAGTCAGGCATGTAGAAAATATTTATTATGACATTATTCGTTATAGATAAAGAAAAGATAAAGTTTCTTACACAAAGTCACAGAGAGAGTGGCAGGGCTGGGTCAGCAACACCCCTGCAGCTGGAATGAGGCTGGGTCCCATTCCCAGCCCCGAGGGCAGCAGGGTTCTGTGGGGATGGGAGGAAGACAGGATGGGAGAACTCTCTACGGGCATTCAGTAAGGGGCTAAAAAGCAATCTATTCCTGAAAGCACCAAAATCACACAATAATTTTTTTCCTCTAAAGTACAAATATGTAATTTCACCGTCTCCCCTAAACATTTGAAAAATAAAAACCTTCCCCAGGAAACACAGGTCCAAACTTTGGGTTTTATACAAACAAGCGGGAGCCATACAGGTACTTGTTCAGGGGCCACAGGTTGCTCTCGCCCACATTGGAGGTGCTGCGCTGGCACTGCTTGCAGCGCCGATACTTCTCACATTGGTCCAGGAGGAAGAGCTTGTCTGAGGCCCTGGGGAGAGGTGAGGAAAAGCAGTCATTAGCAGGCATTCCCTGAGTCTTGGCTGGGGGTCTGGCTTGGAAGCTGGTGGGGATACAAGTGGAAGGGATACAAAAGGAAAGTAACACTTGATGCCTGCCCTCTGGGGGCTTACCACCCACCTGTGATCTCCCACCCACAGTCTCTCCCCGTCCACGCTGCTACCTGCAGCTCACCTCAGCTTGGCATCTCCTGCTTCCAAACCTCGGCCATCTCCTTGTTCTTCAGTAAATAAAAGGCTCTGATTCAGTGCCTTCACAACAGTGTGACCCCAGCCTTCCTCCCCAGCCAACCCACTCGAACCCTCAGAGAACAAGTAACTTGCCCACAGGTGGTACAGCCTGCCAATGGTGGCTCCAAAGCCACTGTGTTCACTGTTTTGCCATGTGGCTGCACCTTTACCTGTCAGGCTCCCAGGAGACAGAATTTGAGAGGGAGATTAGGCCATTAAGCTGCTGGTTAACAGTGAACACCCCAGCAGACAGTTAAGAGTAGACTTGCAATGAAAAGTCCCAGGAGGCCAGAGGCCTCTGGAGAGTTAAGGGCAGGAGAGAAAGTGGAGACAAGAGGAAGAGGGCAGAAACGGCTGGAAGCAGAGCTCAAGGGACAGCAGTGACTGATTTTCCTCTCCAACAATTTTTCTTGATTATGCAGGACAGTCCCTAGTGTGTCCCCCTACCCTATCAAAATTTCTCCATGGGTGGAATTCTGTGGAAAGAAGCATCAACCGCAGCCTTAAAAGGAAAAAGAACAGTCTTGGCAATGGGCAGGGAAAACCCACCTGGCTTCCCTTGGTAATGGGACAGAGTATCACGTGGTAACTGCGTACACGTGAACCTTGTTTTTGCTTTTGCTCTGTTTTCTTTTAAACACCAACCAATTCCTTCTTCCTACCTGCTGCCTGCTTGAGTCCCTGCCCACAACTGGGCCTAGGTCTTCAGGTAATAGGTCCACTCTGCCATGTCCCTGGAGCAGCTGTGATATCCTGCCACTCAAGGTTATTTTTTGTCTCCTCTACCCTTTATCACCGTGGTGTCCAAGCATTCTTCCAAAATCCAACAAAAATCTCCCTGGCATTGATCTCACTGCCTTTTACCTGCTTTCCCACAACATTGAGAAAATGGCTTGAAACCCCCAACTCACCTTTCCCTTCCTCTTCTCTAGGCCAAACAACCCCACTACTCCTTTGGAATCTATTTCCATGTCATCCCTCATACATTCATTCTCACAAAATATGGGTTCTACCTGTTAGACATGTGAGAAATGCCTTAAAAGAAATCTAAAAGGATAAGGAGAGTTACAGATCAAGATCCATTAGAACGAATTTTATCCATGATAAAAATTAGTTGATAATTGGCAATTTAAAATATTATTTTGGTATATTCAAGTTTTAAAACATTTGATTGTGTAGGCTTAGTCTGTTTCTTCAAGTTTTTAAAATTCTATGGAAGTATACCTTATATTTGTAAAGTATTTTAATTTTTTTTAAGTGTAATACTTTTCCATCTCTTTATTTGATCCTAAAACTCCTGTGTTAGCTAAGCCAGACAAGTGTTTATTTTCTCCATCTTACAAATAAGAAAAGTAAGACAAAAAGATTAGCTGCCTCTCCAAAGTTAGTGTTAATTCTCAAGGCCATGACTAGATTCCCTGACCCTAGATTGTAAATAGATAGCTGTGGAGAGGTGGGAGGGATATTATAATACGTTTCAGGAAGATGTTCTTGGCTGGTTCCATCATGGGCATCTCACTTTTCCAATTGCCAATCTGACCCACAACCCCTTGACTGTGCTCTTAAAGGACCATTCTGTAAGCTGTGGATGTGTTCAGATGGAAACTCACTCTCCTAATTTCCAACTAGTTATTTCCAAAAAGAATTCCCACCCTTCCCCCCCACCACACTTCCTCACCCTCCACAAAAAGAAAATAAAGCTACTTTACACAGAGGCCAAGATTAGGGCAGAGATGGCAAATGTATAACATACAACGCAGCATTCTCCAATCCCCTATCCATAACAGACATTTCTAATGTGTCGTACCAATATTTCCCACTAAACCCAGAATTCTTTTCTCCACAAAGCTCTCTAGGCAGCCACTCCCCATCAACTGGAGCTGGCACTGGAAACCTATCTGCCCTCTCAGGATTAGAGGAAAGTAAACAAGGAGCAGAGGGGATTTTCTTTGCAAACAAAGAACCTCTGGTTCCAATCAGGTATTACCGCTCGAAAGCCTTCTCCTCCAGGTCCCGCTGCCTCTTCATTGCAGCACTCCTTTCCCAGTCCTCCTGTAAGCTTTGGTTGATTCTGTTCACTCTCTCCAGCTCAGCAGTTCTGTCTGCCAAGTGCCTAGGGAGAACAGAATAGTCTGATTTCGTTCACAGTATTGGGAAGGGCATGCACCAACCTTGGGAGCCCCATTCCTTTTATGGTAAATTAAACAGAAGACCTTCTGGTTTTGTTCACTACTCTTTGAAATAAACTAAAAGGCATGAACACTGCAAAAACCTAGTGAACTCCTAGCTCTCCAATAATTTATGGGTCTAGGACCTTTCATCTTCCATCCTGGTTTAAAATAGCAGGATTGAAACCTTTTTCCAATTAACATATTCAGCTTTTAAAACCATTAATTTCCTTGGAGGCTAATTTAACTGATCTGAAGAATCATCTCAAATGGATTTCCTATACTTTATGTTTCTTTCCTTTTATTCCAGCCTCTCAGCTGTCAGTAATCAGCCTACAGGTTGCTACAGACAATTTACAAGACAAAGTAGACAGGCGTACCAATGAATGGTTAGAAAGGAGAAAAGAAATAGAAATGACTAGGCAAAAGAAAATGCAATGGAGAAAATATCTAACATTGTGAAGAAGGTAAAAAAAAAAAAAAGTGTTTGGTGAAGCTCATGTCATCGAAGAAATGACCACAGTATAATATCTCTCTTCAAGTACAATGTCCCAGAATTCACATTGTTTAAGTGTTTCTATTCTTGGTCTCCAAACATGGGGTCACTGCTGTTGTACATCACCTTAAACATGGTTTACGTGTGTCTATTTGTTGCCAAACTGAAACTCTCAGCATCAGTTCTCATTAAAGTCTAGAAGGGACTTCACTAAATGTGATGGCTGAGTTAGCCTGCTATGAAGGGCTTTGTGTTACAGGTAGTAACTGCCACTAGGTATCAGGACCCTCCAAGAAAAATCAGTAATGTGCTCAGCGCTGGTTCACTTTTCCTAAAATAGTATGGCCACATTTTCCTCTAACAAGCATTGATTCAACAGCTATTGTATGGGCAATATAAAGATTAAATGAGATAATGTACAGAACGTGCCAATACCTCTCACACAATGAGAGCTCAGTGACTGAATGGTACCTATTATATATATTTTTCATAACCTTTTTTCTTTCCATAGTTTTTTCTTAATTGTAGTAAAAAACACATAACAGAAAATGGACCATCTTAACTATTTCTAAGTGTACAGATACATAGTGTTAAGTATATTCACATTGTTATGCAGCCAATACCCAGAACTCCTTTCACTTTGTAAAACTGAAACTCTATACCCATTAAACAACACTTCCCCATTTCTCCCTTCCCCTACTCCCTGGCAACCACCATTCTGTTTCGTTTCCAGGCATTTGACTACTCTAAATAAGAGTAGTCATAAGTGAAATCATACCTTTTTTTCTTTTTGTGACTGGCTTATGTTTCACTTAGGATAATGTCCTCAAGGTTCATCCATGTTGTAGCATGTGTCAAAATTTCCTTCATTTTTAGTGCTGAATAATATTCCATTGTATGTGTATACCACATTTTGTTTATCCATTTGTCTGTGGTTGGACATTTATGTTGCTTCCATTTCTTGGCTATTGTGAATAATCCTGCTCTGACCATGGATGTGCAAATATCTCTTCATGATCCTGCTTTTAATTCTTTTGGATATATACCCAGAAGTGGAATTATTGAGTCATGTGGTATTTCTATTTTTAGCTTTTTGAGGAACTGCCATACTGTTTTCCATAGTGGCTGCACCATTTTACATTCCCACCAACCGTGCACAGGATTCCTATTTCTCCATATCTTTGTCAACACTTATGATTTTCTGGTTTTTCGATAGTAGCCATCCTAATGGACGTGAGGTAATATCTTTCTCTCTCTCTCTTTTTTTGCTTGCCTTAGTTTCATTTTTCCCCTTTACATCATATCATATTTGCATCTTAACAGTTTTGTCTACAAAGAATAAACAATTTTCTTCTTTTTTAATCTTTTGAATAGTGTAAAAAAAGTACTTGTTAAATGTTTCGTGGTGTATTGGTGTAATAAAAATGTATAATTGTTCTTGATTTGGATATTTCACAAGGCAATCAAACCACAGATATTTATAATCCAAGATAAATGATAGCACAATTTATCTTTCCATTTGTAAAATCTTATTACACTGTTCTGCAAATGTATAAATGTTTTATTTTCATAAGGCCCTAGGAAAAAAAATACAGCCATCTTATCTGTATATGTTACACTGATACCTACATCTTAAATAGCAAAAGACTTTTTCCTATATCTCCATAAGCAAGTTGTAGGAGACAATGTGAACAATTTGCTAACTGCTTACTCCATTCATCCTGTCATAGAGTTGGCACTCCAGGATATACATATGACTGTAATTAAATTATTAAATTGTGTAATATAAAACACAGCTGCATCTTAAATCCCACCTTCCTACCCTGCCATCTTTACTCACTGGAGTGGAGAATCTCTGTATCTCAGGTTCACGTAAGTAAATATTCAATAAAACATGAAACACTTCTTATCTTGGAGAGGCAAAAAATGTAGTTAAATGCTAAATGACCTCTTTTTCAAACAATGCAAGCTGATGGTTGAATAAGGCTCACACACATGTTTCTCAGAGAATGAAAACCATTTGTTAATGAGCGGCTATCTCATTGTGGTTTTGATTTGTATTTCCCTAATGATTAGCGATGTTGAGCATTTTTTCATATGCTTTTTGGCCATTATTATATTATTTTTTAAAGGATAGGTTAAAAAGTCAGTTTAATTTAAATGCCTAGAAAGTAAAAAAAGGAAGCAAGAATAGAGGGGAGACAACTAGGATTTTCACAAGACTGCTTGTGGAAGCAAATTGCTGTACCTTTTTAGAAAGCAAACTGTCAGTATCTGGTAATATTTAAAATGTGCCATAAGCTTGATCCAGCATCCCCACTTTTAGGAATTTATCCAATAGAAACAAAAGAACCAGTAATAAAAATACATATTAAAAATGTTTAATGCAGAATTGTCGTAATAGCAAAATATCTGGAAACAAAGTGAATGTTCATCAATAGTACAAAAGTTAAATTACAGTAACCCATATTATAGATATTTTGCTGTTATTAAAGAAGAATGAATCTCGTATATATGAACTGACCTAAACATAAATTAATTACACAGTATTAGGTTAAAGAAAGGTTGGGTTGCAGAGTAATGAATAAGTTCCCATAGGTCTCATTTTCATTTACAAAAATAGAAGGAAAATATATATGTGCATATTGTTTGAATATATTTATAAAGAACAGGAAAAATGTAGAAGGCTACATATTAACCTTAACACTGACTACTTGGTGGGGAGATTATTAACTTTTTTTTTTAATCTCTCCACCAATTGACTTATTTTAATGAGCATGAATTGCTATATTTTTTAAAACAAAAGCAGAAACGTTTAAAGAAAAAAAAAGTAAAACAACCGAAAATACTTTAGCAGCCTGTTTGGATCACACTGACTAAATTATCCCCTCCGAGAAAAAGTGACCTTCCATTTGCCACAGGAAGACCCAAGATCACATCCTGAGGTGGACCAGAGGGCGAGGGAGTTGGAAAAGGTAACAGAAGTGAGAGTATCTGGAATAACTGGTAAAGGATATAGAAACGGAAGACAAGGATATGCCCCATTCAGAGAAGGGGGTCTATGACCAGAGCTCCAGCAAGAGAGAGAACCAAGTAAACACCACAGTTCGTATTTGTTCAGAGCTTTGCGGTGTCCCAGAATGTTCTCTCACATACGTAATCTCATTTAGTTCTCATAGTAAGGATAGCTAGGGCAGGTGTGATTATCCTTATCTTTCATAGGAGGAGAAGAGGACTCAAAGGCCCCATGTGTGATTTGGCCCAGGTCATGCAGCTTGCAAATGAGAAAGTTTAACCCTCCTAACTCCAAGCTCAGGAGGTCAACTAGAGAAGCTATGGGCTAGAAGCGAAGGAGGAAACTGCAATAATCTCTGTGACAAATGTGAAGGGTCCCAGGTCTGGCTGTGGCAGCATGCATGGAAAGGCAGAGCCACCATGGGACAAGTGATGGCTGTTTGCTATAAAACAGAAGCTATTTACAAAAATTCTTTCATTTAACCCTCAGCCACCCTGGAGGTAGATACTAGTATTATCCCTAATAACTGATAAGGAAACCAGTACCCTCAGAGGTATGTAACCTGCCCAATATCACACAACTAGTAAAATGACAGAACTGCCAATCAATCAGAATGGACAGTGGAAGTGGTCTTGAAGACCCCAGGTGTTCCTCCATTAGATGAGAGATCATGGAGAGGTGGGATGGGGGATCCCAAGGAGAGGCTGGGGGCAGCCTGGGCAGCAAGGGTATACTTGTGGGGCTTGAGGGAACAGCCATTTATCAAGAAGTATGGAAATATTTCAGTATTTTAGCAAACAGCATAGACATAAAAGTATACATTGCCCTGGGTAGATGTAACACTCTGTCCCACATCTGACTTGATTCCAAAAGCCATTCTTTTAACTACTCTCACCTCTCTCTACCAACAGTCCAACCCCTCCCTTATCACAATATCCTCCATCTTCAACCTGCTATTCTACTCATAGTTCCACGTCTGAGCCTACTTGGTATAGAACATAACGGATCTTTGCACCATCCCACTGACCATTTATAAAATTTAAATAAAATAACTTTTTGTCTTTTTATAAGTACAAAAGAGGAGATTCCTTTGAAGAGAAGCCCTTTTGGAACCCCTGAGCACTTTGATGATTTTATAATTCTAATCAAGGATCTGAGAATTGCTGACCATCTACAAAGAAGAAACTGGAGTTCTCTGTGTCAGTCTGGAGTGGAGGAGGGAGAGTAGGAGATATAGAAATGGGAAGGTGAGAAGGAGCCAAAGAGAAATTGTGAGGCTGAGAGCTGGTCAGGACCTTTCAAAATTCCCCATTGGTGGGGTGACCAATTAGGCATTTTAAGAAACTAGGTGTTGGGCCGGCCCCGTGGCTTAGCGGTTAAGTGCGCGCGCTCCGCTGCTGGCGGCCCGGGTTCAGATCCTGGGCGCGCACCAACGCACTGCTTCTCCGGCCATGCTGAGGCCGTGTCCCACATACAGCAACTAGAAGGATGTGCAGCTGTGACATACAACTATCTACTGGGGCTTTGG